GTGATCAAGTGCATCCATTAAAAAGCCTATAGCTAACATCACACTTAAATAGTGAATGACTGAATGCTTTCTCCTTACAACTGGGAGCAATGTAAGGTTGTCTACTGTTGGGAAAGGCAGTCAAGTGCAGCTTCTTGCCCCTTGCGCAGTTGCACAAGAGTGACCTTGGGTCTGGAACATTTCTAGCAAAGAGACAAATAGCCCTCACAGCCTGAGCTAGGCGTATCGCTTCGGGAATATCTTTCCCTGATCCAGACTTAATGGGTACTTCCTTGTTCTGTTTATGGGTGTGTGTCCTATGGTGCCTGGCTCACCCCATTGCTGTATCTGTTCCTGGAGGGGAGATAAAGGGGTCTTTCAGCTGAGGCACAAGTGGGGGTGTGCAGACCATCTTCTTGGGTCAGCAGCTGGGAAAACCCTGCTGACCGTGAGGGATGACACGCAAACTTAAATAGTGAATGACTGAATGCTTTCTCCTTACGACTGGGAGCAATGTAAGGTTGTCTACTGTTGGGAAAGGCAGTCAAGTGCAGCTTCTTGCCCCTTGCGCAGTTGCACGAGAGTGACCTTGGGTCTGGAACATTTCTAGCAAAGAGACAAATAGCCCTCACAGCCTGAGCTAGGCGTATCGCTTTGGGAATATCTTTCCCTGATCCAGACTTAACGGGTACTTCCTTGTTCTGTTTATGGGTGTGTGTCCTATGGCGCCTGGCTCACCCCATTGCTGTATCTGTTCCTGGAGGGGAGATAAAGGGGTCTTTCAGCTGCAGCATAAGTGGGTGTGTGCAGACCATCTTCTTGGGTCAGCAGCTGGGAAAACCCTGCTGACCGTGAGGGATGACACGCAGCTGTTGAAGCTGGTCTTGCTCTGTCTCTTCTCTACGTGAGGAAAGCGCTATCCCATTCAGCACCCATGTGAGGCGTGTCTTTCTCTGCTACCCTGACACCTGCACCCCATGCAGGATTGACACCCTGGATTGTTGTTGCTAGGCAACAGGTGTCACTTGTTTGCTCTCTCCTCTCCTGTTACGCATCATACTTAACACCTACTCAGTAAAATGAGACAAGAGAAAGAAGCAAAAGGCATACAGATTGGAACAGAAGAAACAAAACTTCCCCTCTTCTCAAACAACTTGATTTTCTACACAGAAATTAAAAAAGAAAAACTTAAAAAAAAAAGCTCCCAGAACTTGTAAATACTTAGTTATGCTGCAAAATACAGGGTCAATAGACAAAATGAATCATATGTCCATATGAACATCACACTAACTTGAAACCAGAAAAATTCAAATAATATCATTTAAATAACTTCAAAATAATGAAATGTAGGGATAAATCTAACAAAATACTGTGCTGTGTCTGTATGCTGAAATCTACAGAACACTTATGGAAAAATAAAAGAAATATAATTAAATGGTGAGGCATGTCAGGTATATGGATTAGATGATTCAGTATATTTAAGATGTCAGTCATTCCATAGTTGAATGACAGACTTTACACAGTTCTATTCAGAATATCAGCAAAATTTTCAGTGTATATATACACAAGTTGATTTTAAATTTTTATAGAAACTTAGGAACTAGAATACCTAAAATAATTTTTAAAAGAAGAAGAAATTTGGTGCGTTCACATGACTTCACTTTAAAATATGAAACTTCAGTGATCAAGGCAGTGTGGTATTAGTGAAGGGATAGGCATCATGCAACAGAATAGAAAATCCAGAAATAGATTCATTCAAATTAGACCAATTGACTTTTTGCAAGGTTACGATCACAATTTGATGGAGAAAAGATTTGTATTTTTCATTATTTGTATTTTTCATTATTTGTATTTTCAACAAATGATGTTGGAACAATCGGACACTCACCTGTAGAGACAGAGAGAACTCCAACCCCAACCTCACACTTTATACAAAAAGTTACTGAAAATTTACCATATATCTGAATGTAAAACATGGAGCTATAAAGCTTCTAGAGAAAACACAGGAGAAACATGGGAGAAAAATCTTCATGACTTGCAGTTAAGCGAACAGTTCCTAGACATGTCATCAAGTGTGATCCATTAAATAAAAAATAGATAAGCTGGAACTCATAAAAATTAAAAACTTTTGCTCTGTGAATGATGAAAAGGCAAGACAAAAGCTGGGAAAATATATATTTGAGATGTCCAACAGAGGACATCTATCTAAAATGTATAGGAACTTTCAAAACTCAATAATAAGAAAAACTAAACAATCCAATCTTAAAATATAAGCAACAGATTTTTTTTCTTTTGGCTGTGCTGGGTTTTTGTTGCTGTGTGTGGGCTTTCTCTTGCTGCGGCAAGTGGGGTCTACGCTCTAGCTGTGGTGCACAGACTTCTCTTGGTGCGGAGCATGGGCTCTAGGCCCTCAGGCTTAGGAGTTGTGGTGCTCGGGCCTAGCTGGCCCGCATCATATGAGGGCTTCCCAGACCAGGGATCGAACTAGCGTGCCCTGTAACACAAGGTGGAGTCTTAACCACCGGCCCACCAGGGAAGCCCTACAGGCAACAGATTTGAACAGACATTTCACCAAAGTCTAATTTCTCTGTGACATCTTTTCAGACATCAGTGTTTTACCTATATTTAAAAACCACAGGTTATCAATTTTGTAACGATCGTTACCTGCTGCTGCTGTTGTCATAAGATTTGATTTCCACGGTGGACACTGTGAATGGTGAACGTAGCTTTTCATCTAAGAGTGCTAACAATTTTTTTAAAATAGCCATTATACATTTAAAGGGGAGATTGTGTTTTGGGGGTTAAGGTTGGGTTGGAGTTGGGATTATGGTTAGGTATGGGTGAAACTCATAGTGAGTGAGGGAGGAGAAAACTCTGAGCAGGGGGTATTTACAGAGAATACTGGAAATGGTCCACATTCACCCCTTTTATTCTGGGAGCAGCACCTGGACCCTGTGTTTATTTCTGACAGGTAGAATAATGAGCATTTTCATTTTATTCTTTGTCCTTTTCTGTTTTCAAATTTTCAATTAAAAACAGGTGCTTCTTTTATAACAGAAAAAACAAGTGTTAGCAAAGAAGATGATGCGTGCATGCTCAGTCATGGACAACTCTTTGCGACCCCATCGACTGTAGCCTCCGAAGCTCCCCCGTCCATTTGTGAACCCATGGACTGTAGCCCACCAGGCTCCTCTGTCCAAGGGGATTGATTTCCCCGGAAAGAATACTGAAAAGGATGTGGTTTCCTCCTCCAGGGGATCTTCCCAACTCAGGGATCAAACCTGCAACTCCTGCACTGGCAGGCAGATTCTTTGCTGTCAAGCCACCTGGGAAGCCCTTACTCAGCTATGTCCCACTCTTAGAGATCGCATGGACTGTAGCCTCCGAAGCTCCCCCGTCCATGGAATTTTCCAGGCAAGAGTACTGGAGTGGGTTGCCATTTCCTTCTCCAGGGGATCTTCCAAACCCAGGGATTGAACCTGGGTCTCCTGCATTGCAGGCAGACGCGTTTACTCTCTGAGCCACCAGGGAAGCCTGACAGGAGATACAGAAGTTCAATGTCATCAACTTTCAGAGCAGGACTGCGCATCTGTGGCCGCAGGGGCCTGAGTTTCCGTGAATGGGACTGCCCTGCCATCTAGTGGCCATGTGGCATGGGAGCCTTCCAACCAGCATTTCCATAGAGTCTGTCTTTGAAGAAGGCAAAAAATATACCGTATTTTAGGTAAAACTTTGATTTGGTTGAGTTTTTAAAAAATGAATAAAAATGATTGATGTGGAAAACAAAGAGGGACGTAGACAGGCCACTGTAAGCAAAGACACAGAGAGGATGAACCGCAGGGAGGGACTGGCAGGGTCTCTGCATGTCTTGGCAGGGGCCATGCCCCAGGGCCCAGGTGCATCCCTACGAGCAAGAGGTGCTGGGAGATGAAGCTGAGGGGCAGGCAGGGCCCAGGTCAAGGGTGGACGCGGGCATCAACTTCAGCATTTCAACAGTGCAGCCTGGAGACCCACCTCGAGCACCATGCTCACTCATGATGCCTCATTCCTGCCTCCCTGACTTGGATGCCCTCCCGTCGGTTGAATCATGATTCTGAATCTACTTTTGTAACCAATGACAAGTGTGAGTCAAATGATAGGAAGGAGAATGCTGTTACCAAACCCAAAGATGCCGTGGATGGCCAGGATTCAGGGCAGAGTAGAAGGGGCAGGACAACAGTGGAGCAAGACTCATGGAGCGTAATCATGGTGAGGAGATCTGGGCCAGATAAACAATGGGGTGGATAGTGCAGAAATGCATAAGCGAGTGCCCTAATATAACCATATGTCCTGGCTGCCTTCTGCCTGCTCCTCAATACCCACTCTCCATGGTTTTCCATCCAGCCCTGGAGCCAGATGGCCTGACCTATATGAGCTGCTTCAAGAGTTTCCTTTGCCTTCTGACTTCAGGAGTGGGGAGGGGAGGTGGGCCCAGGCATTGAGGCGAAGGACATGGTAGAGGGAACCTTGCTGAATACGAGGGGAAAGGCCAAGGGGGAAATCTGGGCTAATGAGGTCCTGGGAGCAGCCTCAATGGTATGTGGGGAAGGGGAGCAGAGCCACTTGATTGCAGAATGTGCGCAACGGCTAAGCCGCAGATGGTGGAGGGCTGAGCTTTGCACCAGGCACTGGCATGGTGCAGGCACACGCGGGCTGGCGGGATTGTGAACGCGGCAGGGACTGTGAACGCGGCAGGGAGACTTCAACTGCGGCTCAGGTTCCTGAAGGCTTCAGAGTCTCAAACATCAGTAGTAACTGGGAGGGTAAAGGTGCTGGGCTTGGGTTTCTTGCCTCTCCAACAACAGTATCACAATGCCTCGTGAGATATTTCTGATGCAATCTGACCATTTTCTAGATTATCCAGAAAGTTTATCTGAAAGATTGGGGAGATATAGTAAATCCTAAATGTGTTCTGATTTCTGATAAATCTTTGAGGCAATGATGGAAAATCTTGCAATTTATTAAAAGCACAATCAACTTTCAGAGCAGGACTGCGCATCTGTGGCCGCAGGGGCCTGAGTTTCCGTGAATGGGACTGCCCTGCCATCTAGTGGCCATGTGGCATGGGAGCCTTCCAACCAGCATTTCCATAGAGTCTGTCTTTGAAGAAGGCAAAAAATATACCGTATTTTAGGTAAAACTTTGATTTGGTTGAGTTTTTAAAAAATGAATAAAAATGATTGATGTGGAAAACAAAGAGGGACGTAGACAGGCCACTGTAAGCAAAGACACAGAGAGGATGAACCGCAGGGAGGGACTGGCAGGGTCTCTGCATGTCTTGGCAGGGGCCATGCCCCAGGGCCCAGGTGCATCCCTACGAGCAAGAGGTGCTGGGAGATGAAGCTGAGGGGCAGGCAGGGCCCAGGTCAAGGGTGGACGCGGGCATCAACTTCAGCATTTCAACAGTGCAGCCTGGAGACCCACCTCGAGCACCATGCTCACTCATGACCTCATTCCTGCCTCCCTGACTTGGATGCCCTCCCGTCGGTTGAATCATGATTCTGAATCTACTTTTGTAACCAATGACAAGTGTGAGTCAAATGATAGGAAGGAGAATGCTGTTACCAAACCCAAAGATGCCGTGGATGGCCAGGATTCAGGGCAGAGTAGAAGGGGCAGGACAACAGTGGAGCAAGACTCATGGAGCGTAATCATGGTGAGGAGATCTGGGCCAGATAAACAATGGGGTGGATAGTGCAGAAATGCATAAGCGAGTGCCCTAATATAACCATATATCCTGGCTGCCTTCTGCCTGCTCCTCAATACCCACTCTCCATGGTTTTCCATCCAGCCCTGGAGCCAGATGGCCTGACCTATATGAGCTGCTTCAAGAGTTTCCTTTGCCTTCTGACTTCAGGAGTGGGGAGGGGAGGTGGGCCCAGGCATTGAGGCGAAGGACATGGTAGAGGGAACCTTGCTGAATACGAGGGGAAAGGCCAAGGGGGAAATCTGGGCTAATGAGGTCCTGGGAGCAGCCTCAATGGTATGTGGGGAAGGGGAGCAGAGCCACTTGATTGCAGAATGTGCGCAACGGCTAAGCCGCAGATGGTGGAGGGCTGAGCTTTGCACCAGGCACTGGCATGGTGCAGGCACACGCGGGCTGGCGGGATTGTGAACGCGGCAGGGACTGTGAACGCGGCAGGGAGACTTCAACTGCGGCTCAGGTTCCTGAAGGCTTCAGAGTCTCAAACATCAGTAGTAACTGGGAGGGTAAAGGTGCTGGGCTTGGGTTTCTTGCCTCTCCAACAACAGTATCACAATGCCTCGTGAGATATTTCTGATGCAATCTGACCATTTTCTAGATTATCCAGAAAGTTTATCTGAAAGATTGGGGAGATATAGTAAATCCTAAATGTGTTCTGATTTCTGATAAATCTTTGAGGCAATGATGGAAAATCTTGCAATTTATTAAAAGCACTTTGAAATGCATGAAAGTATCAGTTGCTCAGTCACGTCCAACTCTTTGTGACCCCATGGACTGTAGCCTGCCAGATTCCTCTTTCCATGGAATTCTCCAGGCAAGAATACTGGACGAGTTGCCTCTTCCTCCTCCAGGGGATCTTCCCCATCCAGGGATCAAACCTGGGTCTCCCACATTTCAGGCAGATTCTTTACCACTGAGCTGCCAGGGAAGTCGTGAACTATTATTAATTTAGCTTTAAATAAGGCTTATATGGGCTTCCAGGTGGTACTAGTGGTAAAGAACCCACCTGCCAATGCAGGAGACACGAGATGTGGGTTCGATCCCTGGGTCGGGAAGATCCCCAGGATCATGGCAACCCACTCCAGTATTCTTGCCTGAGAAATCCCACGGACAGAGGAGCCTGGCAGGCTCCATGGGGTCCTGAAGAGTCGAATATGACTAAAGTGACTTAGCATGAATGCACAGAGCTTCCACAAGATTTGTAAACATACCTGCTATACTGAATGTACTTCAATATGTTTGGTTGCATCCACACAGACAAAAGTTATCCAAAACATGGAAATTACTTCATCATATAGACTTGGACATCATAATGACAGTTAATAAAATGAAATTCTAATTATGTTTTCCTTTTCATTGCTAAGTTTTTCTTAAGGAAAAGAACTCTCAGAAGGTAAGCAAGAAAAACACTTGAGTGCCAGGAAATGAGAACATATTCAGCAAAATGAACACCTTGATATAAATGATACCCAAACAGTCTTTTCTGGCTTTCATGTGATCTATTATGAGAGATATGACTGGCAGCTATTTCCACAATTAATTGATCCTGGAAAACTTGGCAAGGCTTACTCTTCTCCAGTTCAAGAATTGGACAACTGCTCACTTTGTAAGTATCAATATAATAATATCTATTAAGTGTTTTAAAAGCTTTGGGAAAAGCATCTGTCAAATAAAATAAACAGTTATGCAACTTATTATAGTAGTTGATTTCAAATATTTGTATCTAAATATCAATGCCTATTCTAAGAAATATTTTATGAAATTCACAAAGCATGTCAGTATGTGAGTGCCATAATCTAACTGTGTGTCCTGGCTGCCTTCTGCTTGCCCCTCAGTATCCACTCTCCATGGTTTTCTATCCAGCCCTGGAGCCAGGTGACCTGATGTATATGAACTGCTTCAAAAGTTTCCTTTGCCTTCTGACTTCAGGATGGATGTAGTCAACTGCAGTGGGACGATCCACAGGTAGGAGGAGGGGGAAGCAGGTGCTTATTCTCTCAGTTTCTTTGCTGCTGCACGGGCATGCTCCGAACCTAACCAGAGGCCATCAGTCTTTGTGCGTAGAGGTACTAACTGGTCATTGAGGTTGTGAACACCAGGAAAACTCACCATCATTTGTTACCTTCTATAATCTCTGGCTGCACATTGTGGACAGCCCTTTTTATTAAATCTCCTCCAATTATCCAATTTGACTTTTCCTTCTGATTCTTGCCAGGATATTGAATGAAACAGTGTAAAAGGTTAAGTGTGGTTATTTGATGCACCCTGACATTTTCCTTTCTTGTAGCCAGTTTGCTTTTTACCTTAATGCTTAAAGAACTCTTTATATTTAAAGTTGAATAATTTGAGTATTTCTAGTTGTGGAGTATGTCTTAGTAAATTTGACTCAAATGAAATCTAGAGGCTTAACTTTTTCCCCCTTTAGGTTATCACATTTATTACATCTTTTATAGTCTTCTGATCCATTTTTTGGGCACTTTACATATGGGACACCAATTATTCTCATGTTGAATCATTTCTATCCTCTATTTTGTGGACTTTGTATTTACTTTCATTCTTTTCTTTTTCAACTGCATGTACTGTAATCATCTTAAGCTTTTCTTTTAACTTCACTTTCAATGATGTCTTTTCTATTTCTTGCTATTTGTATTATACTTCAATATACTAGTTCTGTAATGCTGTTGTTTGGACCCTCAACTTATAAGTCTAATGCTCTCCTTACATCTTTTTCTTTTATGTTCATTCTCTTTTCCATGAGGTCTTATTTTTAATTAATTAATATGTATACAATTCCTTCCTTTCCTTTCTCTCTCTTTCATGAAAATGAGAGGTTTTCATGCTGAGGACTTTCCTTTCCTGACTCTAAAGATACTGCATACTTTCTGTTGTTGTTCAATCGCTAAGTCATGTCCCATTCTTTGGGACTCCACGGACTGCAACACACTAGGCTTCCCTGTTTTTCACTATCACTATCACATACCCCTGGGCCTTTGTTAAGAGCAGCCTGGAGCCACAGAAACTGGGGCTTGACTATAAAATTAAAAAATTATACATAGGATAAAGACTCAATAAAGAAAGAACACTGGGGTGAAAGTGTACACTTTTTTCTTTCTCCTCTCTTCTCTGGTTTAAAAAGTATCCCTCCCCCCCACCCCACCCAGGTATAACTCATTTTAGGGTTTGAAACATTGTAAAAGTGAGAAGTTTGATTTTCTGGGATGACCTCAGCTGCTATGACAAATGATGAGACTTGAGGAATAATCCCTGTGAGATCTGTATGACAACTACATGCTTTGTATTTTAATCTTGTCAGTTGAAAATGACTTTAAAAAACAAACCAAAAGGGAATTCCCTGCCTGGTGGCCCAGTGTTAAGACTTGATGCTTTCACTGCTGTGGGCCAGGGCTCAGTCCTTGGTTGGGGAACTAAGATCCTGCAAGCCACGGCAGACAGCCATAGATAGAGAAATAAATACCAAAAGGAAGTCAAAGGAATGTAGTTTAGTAGGAAATGTAAAAACATAATCTGCCTTGGGTGTAATAACTTCCTAAAAGGTCAGACTGTCCTGCGTGATTAGTGAGGCATCTCAGAACATATCCCACATATTACAGTGGGCCTTCCCTCTTCTGAAAGGAAGGCCCATCAACAGAAAGCTATGAACTTGTCCCCAAACTTACTGGACCAATTTGTCACTAGTCATTGGAATAAATATTTCCCAAGCTGCCTAGAAATGCAGAGTTCTATTGCTTAAAGAAACCTGTGATCTTTGTTCTACAGTGAAGACTTTCGTTAATTCTGATTTAGGGACATCTGGAGGTTAAGCTTGACACTTAACTGCAAGAGAAAGACAAGGAGAAGTACAAAAGTTACAAGTAAAGTCTTTTCTGTCAGAGTCAATTGGGGATGAAAAGCTTGGAATTCATAAATAGTCTAAAATTGTTCATGGGGCGATAAGTCATGAGGGAATTAAATGATGATGGAAGTCTATAGGTTCAGAAACACAAAACATAGGAGCAAATGACCCCTGGCTCCTGGGAAGCAACAGGGCATCATGGGAAAGAGGGCCAGTTTGGAGGTCAGGGTCCCATTTTGCCATCTATTGACTTGGGCAAGTTATTTAATTATAAGCCTCTGTTTCCTCATCTGTAAAGTGCAGATCGTAATCTAACTATTCATACATTTATTACAAAGGTTAAATAGGATAATATATGTAAAGTGCCTGAATTATAAGTACCCCATAAATGTTAACTGATGTTATTGTTGTTATTATTTTTCCCTGAAGACTAGAGTTCACATTACTTTTGCTCATATTTCTTGCAAGGAGCAGTCTAGCAATTTCTTACATCTTGCTCTTTCCATCTTTTTTTCCTCTTGGATATATGTGGTCATAACTCTGAAGAAGACAGGTTTTTGTTTCGTTTTATATCTCCCTGTCCCCATTGTTTCATAAATGTTGCTAGATTTTCCTTTGAGAAATTACCTGTCCTACTCTGAGACTTTGTATGGTAAAGCTGTCCTGGCTTCCAACTCCAGGCTGTCTAGTGAACCAGGCCATTTCAAATAGACTGATTGACTCAGGAGTGAGTAGATGACCCAAGTCAGGCTGATGAGATTCAGTCCTGGGGTTTTTGCTAGATCTCTTAGGAAGGTGAGAACTGCTAACCCATTAGGGTATAAATCTGGAGATACCAGTGGTCATCATAGGGAACAGGCCGCCTGAGAATGGAACCGACACAGAGGAACACATAAGTGAGAGATGGAGTGGTTTCCTAAAGTTATGAGTACCTGGGTTCAGCTGTAACTAAACACACACACACACACACACACACATACACACACACTTCACAATTTTATAAGCCAAATAAAATCTTTTTCTTGCCTAAGTCAGTTTGGATTGAGTTTCTGTCATTGTAGCTGGAGTACTGCCAAATCCCAGAGAGAAATCAGAAGTAAGCAGTATGATCCAACTGCTCATTTTTGTATTTTTTTTCCCACATTTCTCCCTTCTCTTGTATTCAGTGCCTTTAAGCTGTCTTCTTGTTCATTTTTTTCATGGGAAATAATCTGATAATGTTTGTCCTTGATGCTGCAGGGTGAATTTCTGTCATTATGTTATTTTTTGTAGAATTGACATTTTAAGCTGTACATTTAGCCCCACAATGAATGGCTTTGATCCTGCTATAGGAATTTAACTCTAAATTAGAAGGTGTGTCCTGATCAAAAGAGATTTAAGAAATGTATCAACCAAATAACAATTTGTAAATCTTGTTTGAATTCTATTTAAAAAAACCAATAGTTTTAAAAAATAAACACTTTTTTAAAAGTTTCTATAGGAGATAAACATGGAAATGTTTTTCGGTGAAAAGATACTTTTGAGATATGTTTCAAAATAATCTGGGAGGCAAGGGGTGGGAGGAGATGAAGTATAGCTGGAACAATATTTACTATAAATTAATAGTGGTCAAAACCCGATCATGGGTTGAGCATAGGGTTCATTGTATTCTCATAACTGTATATGTTCAAAATTTTCCATAATAAAAGACTTTTAAAGAGTAATAAGTAGAAATGGCCAAGACAGCTGTTCACTACCCCCAGAATCTCTTTTCTCCTTCTCCCTTACAAAAAGAACCCCTCTGTTGTTGAAGATGCAATGTAACTGTCCAGATTTTTTTTTTTAATGATTTTTTTTTTCCTCGTCTCCCTTGTAGATGTGAGTGACCAATGGAAAGCAGATAGAACTCATTAGGTGTGTTTCCTAGGAATACTCTTTAAAGCTGCTGCTTCAGCTAGTTCTTTCCTCAAAGAACTGAGAAAGGTACTGACAGAGTTATTTTGTATCACAGGAAAACTTCACACCAGAATGCATGATGCCATGGGAACGTGTGGAAAAGACAGAACTTGGGTCCGTGATGACTGTGTCGCTGCCACACCAGCCCTGGGCAATTTTCTCTCTTTATTTCAGAGAATTAAACTTAAAAAAAAAAAAAAAATTGCATTTGCCCTTACCGAGTTTGTTAACTCCACGAAAGAAGAGAGGATCTCTCAGTCTTACAGCTCACAAACTTGGCTGCTTTTTGGAAGTACCTGGTGTGCTTTTAAAAACGTTAAGGTTTGGACCCCTCTTACAGTGTCTGAATTCATTGATTTAGGGTACAGCTTGGGCGCTGGAATTTTTAAAGCTGCCCTGGTGATTCTAATGTGTGGCCAATTTGGTGATCCAGTGGCGAAGCTCGCGATTTGATCCGCCGAGCGCTGGGCCCTGGCTGGGGGGACGGTCAGGATTCGGTGACCGACTGAGATCCCCGGTTTGTTACAACTCGGAGTCGGAAAGCTAAGCCAATCCGGCCCCGCCCCCGGCCCGGGCCCCCGCCCCGGCCCCGCCCAGCTGTGGCCCCGGATAAAGCGGAAGAGCGTGAGCCCGCCGAGCAGCCTTCCGGGAGTGCGGCTGTGCGCCTGCGCGTCACCGAGTACGGGAGTGCGGCTGTGCGCCTGCGCGGCGTCGAGTACCGGCGGGCAGTTTGAATTTCGCTCCCGGAGCCAGGTCTCAAGATCCTACGCTTCCGACCGAGATTGGGTGGGGGAGAGGGTGGTGTCTCGGCGCCTCGCGACCCCACTGAGTGGGCCCTTTGCTCCCGGACCCGTACGAGGTTAGAGTCTGGTGTTGAAGATTCCCTCTTCGGAAGCGGGCATTGTTTAGACGGGGCGGGGGGCCAGGGCGGCGCGGGCCGGGATGAGCAGCTGGCCTTAGCCGCGTTAGATGGAGTGGAGGCTTTATATAGACCTTCTCACCTATTCTCGGGCTTCCCTGCTGGCTCAGAGGGTAAAGCGTCTGCCCTCCATGCAGGTAGACCCGGGTTCGATCCCTGGGTCGGGAAGGTCCCCTGGAAAAGGACACTCCAGTATTCGGAGAATCCCATGGACGGAGGAGCCTGGTGGGCTATATATATATAGTCCGTGGGGTCGCAGAGAGTCGGACACGACTGAGCGACTTCACTTTCTTTTTTCACTTTCTTTCACCTCCCTTGGAGTGAACGAACAGTACCTGATTTCTTTCCTTCCCCTCCTTCCGCCTCCTTGTGCGCTTTGCTGTGCTCAGTCGTGGCCGACTCTTTGCGACCCCATAGAGGAGCCAGGCTTCTCTGTCCATGGGATTTTCCCGGCAAGAATAGTGGAGGGGGTTGCAGTTTCCTCCTCCTGGGACCGCCTCTTTACCGACCCCAGTAGTAAAGCCCCAGCCCCCATAGCATAGGAGGAATGCTTCCCTGGACCCGTTTCTTTGAACTTCCTGTGTTTTTCCTGAAGATTCTCGGGTATATAAGTTTTCAAAGAAAATGCTGATGTTGTCTTTATGTATAAATAGAACATTTGTTCCCCTGAATCTCTGAGGAAATGACAGTCTTGTCTTCTGTACCTTCCTTTGGGATGCACTGATTATAGAAAGCTCTAAGACAGGTCATTACTGGACATTGGTGGTGGTTGTTGGGTCACTAAGTCGTGTCTGACTCTTTGGGACCCCATGGACAGCAGCATGCCAGGCTTCCCTGTCCTTCACTATCCCCCGGAGTCTGCTCAAACTCATGTCCATTGAGTCAGTGATGCCATCCAACCATCTTGTCCTGTCATCTTCTTCTCCTGCCTTCAATCTTTCCCAGCATCACGGTCTTTTCCAGTGAGTCAACTCTCCGTATCAGGTAGCCAAAGTATTGGAACTTCAGCATCAGTCCCTCCAATGAATATTCAGGATTGATTTCCTTTAGGATTGACTGGTTTGATCTCCTTGGTTAGAAACTGAATTTTGTAGAATTGAAGGATATTGCTCATGAGTTTTTGTATTTTGTTTTCCAGGAGATGTGACTTACTGGATATTTACCATTGGATTTTGGAAGTGAACAGAAATTTGTTTTTTGTTTTGTAAATGTGTTTATATTTTTTTTCTTCAGAGGCTTAAAGGATGGCCTCAGATCTGGAACAGTTATGCTCTCATATTAATGAAAAGATTGGCAATATTAAAAAAACTCTGTCATTGAGAAATTGTGGTAAGTAAAACAGATTCCACTGACTTTGTACATTCAAAATACATTTTGATTATTGTTCCACTTTGATATCTTATGCCTGGATAAGTGAATGTATCTTAGGTAATTTTCAGCTTTGAATAGTGATTTTTAAGGCAATCTGCTATCCATATTTTGAATATTGCAGAGGATACTAAAATGTAAATTATGTTGAACAATGAACTAGCTACTAATTACATATATTTATTTGTATATGTTTTTCTGAGACACAAGACTGAGTAGTAAGATTTGAAGGTTATGTTGAGTTCCTGATTCTAGAGCTAAGCAGAGATAATAAAAGATAAAGAAAAAGCCAGAAGTGGAAAACACCCACAGAGATAGAAGTAGCCCATAACTCATCTTGCAGACTGCTTTGATAAGGAAGCTTATCAATATATATCACTAGGAAACAACTAACTGAAAATGAAATGAATTTTTTAAGCATCCAGAAACTTGGAGGTTGTGACCATCTCCAAAATAGTTTGAAGTGCTGCAGTAGAAGTGCAGACAAATAGGGAATCCTGGAAAAATAGTGTTTACAGAAATAATTTGCTCTCCAGCCTTATCTAGGAGAACTCAAGATTTATTGATAGGCAGAATTCCATCTGCAGGGGAGATCCTGTTGAACTTTTATTGTAATTTGTATTTTGAATGGATAATTTTTAAAAATTAAAAAATGAAATTATACTGTTGGAGTGTCCTTTCAAATTATACATGTCCTTCTGAGACTTGGATATTCTCCATCCCTTGTTGAGAACCACTAATGAAGAGACTCTTCCAGTTTACAGTTGGTGGCTATGCATTCTGTAGAAAGTTAAAGCTGAAGCAACTGTGGGTTCTTCTGTAGCCTCCGGTCTCATATGAGGAAACTGAGGCTCAGAAGTCAGGCGACTTGCCCAGGTCCTCCCGCTTCCCAATGGTCAGTTGGGACTACAGCTTTTGTGTCCTGATTCCCAGTATACAACTTGTCTATTTCTATGCCATTTTTATTGAATAATCTAAAAAGGACATTTAAATCTTAACTAAGTAGTCTTCTTTAGATTTTCTTTCTGAGAGCATGATTACTCTTGGATAAATCTAACTTAGAGATTATAATACTATCAAACCTTGAATTCAAATGGCCCCACTGAAGCATGAAGCCTGGCAGAAGCAGTCTGACCTGTTAGGTTACTGCACACTGGGTAACTGTCGTTTGTACGTGGGGAGAATAATTTGTCTGTTCGGTTCCCTAGCTGATTCAGAAAAGCCCAGTAATACGTTTGCCACTTTGGCTGCTGTAATCTCCTACATCACTACTATCAAAAGTAGTGTATTTACTCAGTGAACTTATTTTACTGCAAATCAGCAAACAAGGCCCGAAAATTTAGGTGATTGGTTTATTTGAGATACCAGTATATCCAACTGTTTCACGCCCTGAAATTAGTCTCAGTAGAGACATCAGTACTCTCACTTATTTTTTATTTCTTTCAGCTGTCACATGCAGTCCCCAGTGCTTTATTAGAATGTCGATGATGCGTAACAGTTTGCCTTTCCTGAGTGCTTCACTAGGTTGCAAGCAGAGTGCCCACCCTCTTATATGTACTTTGCTGCTTCCCAGTCATCCTCTGAGGGCGAGTGCTGGTGTCTCTGACTGCAGGCCTGGGACCTCTAGCCATTTCACTCTGCATCTGTAATCTACAGATGTGGTCAAATTTTGTTTTCACTTATGCGTATTTCATGATTTGGTTGTTAGAGGAGAAGATGGAAAATATTTGGTTATGAGGATGGTTTTCCCTTTTGTGCTTTTGAGGTGCCCTGAAAAATTCTTTTTTTTTTAAACTTCTTTTATTTATAGGGAGGAAGGTTCTCTGGTTTTCCCATCCTTGTATCTGTGAAGCTGGAGAGAGGAGCCCAGCGGTGGGGTTGGGAACTTGAGAGCAGGCAACTTTACCCTGCTTCCCCCAGACACTTGCAGGCCAATCCAGAATGTAAGGTCATTTTCCTGGCCATTGATGACAATTTTTCCGGTTTACACATTCACAGGATATATCCCATGAAGAGGGTCCTGGCCTCCTTTGGGATTCTCACTTCCAGCATCCTGTGCTTTGAAGTCCCAAAGCCATGACTCCTATCCCCATTAAAATCAAATATATTAGGTTGCTGAGGTTGACAGCCTCCACTCTCCAGCATTTCTCTGCACCTCGAGTCCCCCTTCTGCACGTTCCCCCATCCCCCTCATTAGGGCTCCCGCAGCATCAGCTCATACATCCTACCTGGTCTGTGATTCTTTCTTCAAGTTGAAACCCTTGGAGATTTACCTTTTTTCTCCTAAGAGCTCAACTACGCATGCAAAAGGGTGTTTATTTTATCTAGCATTTCTAAGTGCTTTATTATAGTGGAAGATTTTTCCAAAATCAAAAGATTCAGGGGATACTTTGTATTTACCTCCTCCTTCCTTTTTTTTCATATTACTTAGTAACGACTTAGTAACAGCTCTTAAGATTATTCATGGAGACAAGTCCCAGGGGCTGAAACATAGTTCTTTCTTCATCCTCAGTGTCCCTTTATGGTAAAGCTCTGTTCCAAGAGTTCCATTGGCTACATGTAGGTTTTATGGTTTTCTGTACATTTTAGTTTCCATTTTATCTTTTGTTTATTAACAGGGCAAGAACCTACCTTGAAGACCATTTTAAATAAAATAGGAGATGAGATCATTGTAGTAAATGAACTTCTAAATAAATTGGAATTGGAAATTCAATATCAAGAACAAACCAACAGCTCCCTCAAGGTAATGGTTTTTCTAGTGATGAAACAAAATAAAAAAGGCAGTTAATATAAACACCTAATCACCAGAAAATTCTTAAGGATTCTTTATGTTTATAATGTTGTTAACTGTGATTATTAACAGTAAAGAGTACTATTTTGCATTTTATTTTCCCAGTGTAAAGGACTGCAGAGTCCCAGAGGTATTTCTTTCTCCATGCTGGTAGCCAATTTATTTACTAAAAAGGGAATATTTCCTAAATAATTTTTGGGAGGCTTAATTTAAATAAATGATCTCCTGGGAGTGTGGTGTGCAGGATTGCCTGCCCTGGGTTGAGGAGACATGGTTTGCCACTATGGCTCTCCCAGCACGTTCTGCCACCCTAAGAAGGTCATTTTTCCTCTTTGAGTCTCAGTGCCCTTAACTGAAAAGTAATGGGTCATACTGAAGTATTTCTTGGGTCCCTTCTATTCTGCATTTCTTTTCTATTTCTGCAGATTGTAATGTAAGGATTCTCAGGTAAAAAAATCCACTTGAGCCTCATTCACATGCATGTTTTGTTCTGAATAAGCCTTCACCTAATAAAAATGTTTCTGATAGGATGGGAAAAGAGTCTGTACCATAATTACCTCGTGCTCTTAGAGCCACTGATATGTTCAGTGGGATTGAACAAAGTTGCCTATATAGTCCTTTTTAAGCCTTATAATCCTCAGTGTCTATAAAGATTTTTCAGCTATAGGACTGGACATGATTATGCCTATCCTGCTGCTGGTTGAATTGAGATCAGTATCTCTGAACATCATCCAGGTCTTTAAAAGAAAGATGTCATACAAATTCAAAACAGAAACCAATAATGTTTACATTTCTACCTTGCCCAGTAATGCCCAGGGTTACGTGTGGGTTTAGAGAAGGTCCAACTCAGAATTAAAGCCTATTTGGAATTTTTGTTTACATGATGACCGAAAATCAGATGACAGGGATCCAAAGGTACAGAGTATTTTTTCTTATTAAATTTCCATGAGTTCATAACCTCAAATTCTTGGGAAAGTTAAATAAAGACAACACAAAATGAAGGCAGTTACGATCAAGTAGAAATTTTCATTAAGCTAGAATATACAAAAGCCTTCCTAAGCAATATCTCGTCCTTGCATTCCAGGAATGTATTATCATTTGGTGCTGGGGAATGCTTGCTAAGTCAACAAAAGCACTTTTACCAGAATGACAAACATAAATCTTTCATATACTTTTTAGTTGCTTGCCAAGGTTGAAATATTTTAGAAAGACATAAATGTCAACCCTGCCTGTTGTAATGTTATTCTAGCAATTGTTCTCTGAACAAATCCAGCAGAGAAAAATAATGTATCACCATCCCAAGTCAGCTCTAGAAACCAAAGGGCTCCTTTTAAATATTGCTGAGTTCAGTGCTTTTTGACCTTCTGCTCACTGAACACTCAGCCTCATTGTAACTGTACTCAGTCTTTCCTGCTCTTTTTAACATGTTAAAACACACCCAGGCAGGACAGATGCTTATATGTGACCTTTTTTTCTTTTTCTTTTTTTAAAGGAACTCTTTGAATCTCTCGAAGAAGATTATAAAGATGTGGAGCATCTCAAAGAAAACATCCCTCCCCATTTGCCTCAAGTAGCAGTTACCCAGAATTTGTAAGTGTGTTTATAATTATTTTTAGTCTCTGGATTTATAAAACTATTAAAACAAGCATTTTAGATCTTTTTGCTTTTCGATATACTTGCAGTTTTGTTAGTGATTGTCCAGTGTTGTTTTGTTTTTTTTTTTGGACTTAGAGGAGAAATAATCTTTCCCCCATCTTCACCAGTTTTCTTATCCCACTGTCTCTGGGGAAAATGTGCTGCCTCTTTCCCAAGGATCGGTCCCTCAGAGCGGAGTTTGTTAACACTGGCTCTGTTGACATGTGAGGTCAGATAGTTCTTTTTGTAAAAATAGCATATTTAGCGGCATCCCTGCTCTCCTCCAATTGAGCTCTCCTGTACCCTCCTCCCACCCGCGCCCTCCACTCCCTGGTGACAATGAAAAATGCCTTCAGACATTGCGGGGGTGGAAAATCTCCCCTGACCCTTGAGAAACACTGCCTTAGGGTAAAAATAAACTTAATGGGTCTTCTATCTTAAAAATAGCTCAAGGAACAAAGGCTTAGCTCTATTTTTACCCTGAAACTCCTGTCCTGCCTCTCTGTTCTCTGCTAGTAGATGTTCCTGCCTGCCCTTTCTCCTGAAGCCCCTAAAACTTAGCTTTTGGCTGTTAATTAGTACCATACTTGTGAAAATGATTGCTTGAAGGTCACAAAGAGGTACAAACAATTACCTCTTCAGCCCTGATTCTTTTCTGATTTTATTTTGCTGCTCATCTTTCTGAAATGACGCTATCTGCACTACCACTGGGTTTTCTTAGTTATCATCCTACGTCTTTGACCAGGCTGCCCCCTTTTTCTCTGCCCTCCTTTAAGTTACAAGTGTCTCCTAAGACACTGTTACTTAACACCAGTATTAATGCTCTCATGTCTAACTCCAGCCTTGACACGGCCTCTGGTTCAGCTGTCTGAACTGCTTGGGGGGAGTCTCACGGATGAGCTGTGCTCTCCTCCAGGTTTGCTTGCGTGTGTGAGACTAAACTGGCTATCTCCTTGTTACCTACCCCTCACCTAGACAGGACACTGGCATCTTCAACTTCTCTCTCTGTCGTGTAGCCCCTTGGCCTCTGCGGGGTTTTGTCTGCCTCTGCCCTCCCTCTCATTGTCTGGCTCCATGAGATCTTTCATCATCTTTTGTCTTTATGATTTGGGAGTTACTTGTGTTTCCTCTTCCCAGTATTTCTCCACTGCCATCTCTCCAGTCCTCTGCCACCAAAATTGTATTTCTTTTTAAAATTTTATTGACGTATAGTTGATTTATAAAATTGTATTTCTAAAAGGGGCTCCCCTTGTATACCATGACTAACTTAACTACTTTAACTTTTGAAATGAATCATATATACAGAAAAGTAATTGAAGTGTTATTAGTGCAAATTAAAGGAGAATAATAAACATCAGTGAATCTGCCAGTCAGATTAAGAAATAGGACATTGCCAGTACCTACAACACTTCTTCTGTTGCAGATCCTTTCTATCAAAGACGTAATCATCCTGGCATTTGTGATAATCACAGTTTTACGTATATGTTTCCACAAACAATATACTGCTTAAATTTGAAAACTAAAAGGAAAGCACAAATCTTGCTGTGTAGGAAAAGAGCCATGTTGCTGCTGATATTTGAAGGTCTCCAGGAAATAAGCTCAACGGAGTCCCTGGCGTGCCAGGGTACCTTGGAATTTCCCTCCAAGAAGAGAAAATTAGGGAGTTCCTTGGCAGTCCAGTGGTTAGGACTTAGTGCTTTCACTGCCATGGATCAGGTTCAATCCCTGGTCAGGGAACTAAGACCCCACAAGCTGAGCAGTGCGGCAAAAAAAAAAGGGAAGAGAAAATTAGTGGGCAGGGTCATGAATGAATGGAGGAACAAAGGTCATCTTGGGATATCTGCCAGGTCTATTGGGCTGGACATTGGACACCCAGCAAGAATATGGCCCAAGGAGTAGTGGGGATTTTCTTCTAAACTCACTGTGGCCTAACCTCAGCTTTCAGGGCCAGGTCACAGCAGAACCTTTGTGTAGATAGAAAAGGTTATTTTTAGCTGATACACACAGCAGGGCAGCCTGAGAACAGGCAAGTACAGGTAAGACTCAGCCAGACTCACCGTGGAGCCTCGGGTCAGGATTCATGTAAGGATGAAGCTACAGGCATTGGGCATCTTCATCTTCTCAGCCTGTCACGTGGTCGTCTCCTCCTCACACCGCCTCCGTCAGGCCTCGCTGTCTGTCTACTACTCAGCTGTCACCTTGGGGTCTCACCTCCCTGTCCTTGGATTCCCTTTGGATACTCCTGGGTTGCATCATTTCTTTCCTGTATCCCCTTTTCTATTTGGAGAAGTCAAGCCAACCTGACTTGCTGCTGGCACGGGGGTTTCTTCCTTCCCTGGCAGTTAAACAGCCTAGAAGCTGTAGCCTATTTGTGGACTCTCTTTGCTAATGCAGAAGGAGCTGTATTAGGCTTCTCACCCACACCAAAAAACGGAGCAGGACTGACTCTAGGGTATCCACGTTCATTGCTGGCAACTGAAATGAGTCTGCAGCAGGTGGGACTGATATTAGCAACCAATGGGGTAAATTAGAAGTATAAGATGATTCATGTTTCCACATCCAGAAATAGGGAAATCAGAAAGAGAAGTTGTTTAGAGGTTAAATTCAGCTTCACACATACTGACTTTGAGGAGCCAGTGAGATAACAGATGAAGATGTTTGGTACGTGTATTATTTGCACCATGTTTTGGGTGTATAAATAATTATGTTACTGAAGATTTTGGAACTTAATTTTTCAGTGTTCTCTCCACTATTCAAAAAAGAACTTTTTTTTTGGCTGCACCATGGGGCATGTGGGATCCTAGTTCCCTGAGCAGGGATTGAACCCGTGCCCCCTTCATTTGAAGCTTTTGAAGTCTTAACCACTGGACCAATGGAGAAATCTCTTCACTATTCAAATCTTCATAAGCATTAGCAGTAGGGATAGAAAACAAAAATCTTGCCTATAAAAGTATAACAAGATGGAAAAATTATAAGATCATGTGCTTAATACTGGTCATTTTTAGTTGCAAAGCCTCTTACTATGCTGCAGAATTCTGACAATTGCTTGTACACTGTGCGTCTATTCTGTAGTGTTAATGGCTCAGATCTAGACCCTGAAGAACCGGTCAAAGTTGAGGAACCTGCACCCGCAAAGAAGCCTCCCAAAGAACAAAGAAGTATTAAAGAAATGCCATTTATAACTTCTGATGAGTTTAATGGCATTCCTGCGTAAGTATTTGGGACAAATTTTAACATTCAGCTCTTTATTAATCTGCATACGTGATTGTCATAAACCTTGAATATATTATTTGTAACATGCTGTGTTCCAGTATTGATCTTCTCTAAAATAGTTTTACATTATACTGCAGGAATCTTTAGTGGATGATGCTTGAAATTTTGTTTTTTATTTAGGTGTAAAACCTAGTCATAGATCTAGAGATGTATCAGTTTGTTGCTGAGTCCTCTCAGGTCATTTTATGATACAGATTTTTTTATCCAATTAAATTTTAGAAGTATCCTCAGTTTTGCTACAGTTTTAAGGAAGGGGAGTGTGTTGTATAGATTTGGAAATTAACACAAAGAGCTCTGTTTGGTTTCCATTTGCTCATTAACTTGTGCCACACACTTGTTTGAGTCTGCTGTATTCTGGGCTCTGGGTCACTGAGGAGAAGAATACAGGGGTGAATGGGACAAGATGCCTCCCCCCAATAAGGACTCCATTGCTCTTCATAGAAGACTAAGTTAATGGGGAACCAATTATGGAAATCCATGTTTTTAAACTCATAATTCCAGGGCTTAACTTCACATCTTGGCTTTATATTGTTGCATTTCTTTTTATTTTCTTATACAAATAACACATGTTGTTAGTGTTTGTTGTGAGATTGATAACTCATCTGTAATTCCACCACTCAGACAAGATAGAGTATTTCCTTCTGTATTTTAATTTCACCTACATAACAAGTTGTTTCTGATTGTTATTACAGCAGTATAGTTATGCTATGAATGTAATTTACTTTTTTTTTGTCATGTGCATTTTTCCATCATTAACTATCATCGAAAACTTAGATGTTAATAGTTGTATAATATTTTATAGTGTGGCTACTCTATAAGCTATCAAATGTTTGGGTTGACTGTGTTGTTATGAAGAATGGTACAGTGAAATTTCTTTTACACAGGTCTATTTTCTAATTCCTTTATTACTATTACTTCCTTGAGATAGAGTCCTAGGAGGAGATTCCCCAGGGCAAAGAGCATGGTTATCTTACTTGCCTGAGAGTTGTCCATCCAGATTTTTATTTTTTTAGGTTTACAGAAAAATTGAGCAGATTGGACAGTGTTCTTATAACTGAAAAGTTTCCCCTATTACTGACATCTTGCATAATGTGGTAAATTAGTTACTATTGATAAAGCAGTCTAGATACTATTAACTAGATATTAACTAAAGTCTGTAGTTTGCAGTAGGGTTCACTCTTTGTGTTGTGTAGTCTGTGGATTTTGTCAGATGTGTAATGTCATGTCTCCACCGTTAAGATATCATACAGAATAGTTTCACTGCCCTAAAAATACCCTGTGCTCCCCGCTTTCATCTCTCCCGCTGAGACCCTGGCAGCCACTCATCTTTTTATTGTCTCTATAGTTTTCCCTTTTCCAGAATGTCATACAGTTGGAATCATACACTGTTGCCTTTTTGGACTGGCTTCTTTTACTTGGTAATACACATTTAAGATTTCTCTAGTGTCTTTCTGTGACTTGATAGCTCATTTCTTTTTTATCGCTGACTAATATTCCATTGTGTAGATGTAGTAGTTTGTTTATCCATTCATCTGTGGAGCAACATTTTGGTTACATCCAGTGTGGGGCAGTTATGACTAAAGCCGCTGTAAACGTTCTCATGCAGGTTTTTGTGTGGACGTGTTTTCAGCTCACTTGGGTAAATACCTAGGAGTGTGATGGCTGGACCATATGGTAAAACTGTTTAGCTTTGTAAGAAACAGTGAAGCTGTCTTCCCTAAGTGGCTGTACCATTTTGCATTCCCAGCAGAACACGAGTTCTGTTGCTCCATATCTTTGCCTGCATTTAGTTTTGTCCACTGTTTTCTATTTTAGCTGTTCTAGTCAGTATAATGTATCTCATTGTTTTAATTTTCAGTTTTCTGATGATATATGATGTTGAGCATCTTCTCATATACATAGTTGCCCCTTGAAAAATATATGACAGTTTCACAAATCTGAGACTTGGAATGAGACTGACATTTTAGTTTTTTTGTTTTGGCCACTCAGTCATTTCCTTTGTTGACAGCTTTATGTGATTAAAATTGTTTGATGCTATTTGGTTTCCTAAATTGCTGTTGTTGCCAAAAACAAATGGCCGTGAGGAACAGTGCAGCAGAAAGGTCTTATGCTTTCTTGGGGACTTCCCTGGTGGTTCAGTGGTTAAGAGTCCACCTTGCCATGCAGGGGATGCGGGTTCAATCCCTGATCGGGGAACTGCAGTCCGACACACCTCAGAGCAACTAGGCCTGTGTGCCACGGCTACTGAAGCCACGGGCCGCAACTACAAAGTCTGCGTACCACAGCAAAAGATCCCACATGACGCAATGAGGGTCCGCCTGCTGCAGCTAAGAGCTGGTGCAGCCAAGTAAATACATAGATAAAAGAAAATGCTTCCTTGTAGGGAGGATATTGGAATAGTCACGGTAGAGTATTCGCTTTTAAACTAAGAGATTATTTAACGAACGAGAGAAGTTGGCAGGTTAGGATAAGAATGTGTTCCAAGCATGGGACTTTGATTCATTTATCTTTAAAAAGTTGATACTGAGGTGCAATTTAAAGTAGAAAACACTGGCACTTGTTTTGGGGAAGTTAGAGGATAATTCACATGGTTTAAAGCAGGGGTCCCAACCTCCAGGATCTAATGCCTGATGATCTGAGGTGGAGCTCATGTAATAATAATAGAAATAAAGTGCACAATGAATGTAATNGTGTATACAGACCACTCAAAATCAAGGTCTCCTATTCTTATATTTTAAGACTGTGATTGGCATCACTGACTCAATGGACTTGAGTTTGAGCAAACTCCAAGAGATAATGAAGCAAACTCCAAGAGACTGGCATGCTACAGTCCATGGGGTCGTAAGAGTCAGACAGGACTCAGTGACTGAATGACAACAAGAAGACTGGTGACTGGGAGGACAGGCAGAAGGGAGACTGAATTGGAAGGATGGGCTTTAGAGTCAAAGAGACAACGCTTAATCTACCTGCCAATGCTGGAGACACAGGAGATGCAAGTTCAACCCCTGGGACGGGAAGATCCTTTGAAGCAGGACCCCAGTATTCTTACGGGCTTCCCTGGTGGCTCAGATGGTAAAAAATCCACCTGCAATGCAGGAGACCTGGGTTCAGTCCCTGGGTTGGGAAGATTCCCTGGAGAATGGAATGGCCATCCCCTCCAATATTCTTGCCTGGAGAATTCCATGGACAGAGTATCCTGGTGGGCTATATATAGTCCGTGGGGTCACAAAGTGACTGAGTGACTTTCACATTCACTTTCAGACAGTACTTAAGGCCATTTGAGCGTGAAATGAGTGAGGCTGTCCCTCCTTCTCCTCTGCCACGTAGCTGTGCAGCTTAACTTCTGGGCCCTCTGATCCCTTTGCAGCCTCTCCACCATCAATAATTCTTTGTCGGCTCTTCATCTCTGTTGTCTTCTTTGTCATTTTCCCTTCCTCCTCTCTCTCTTTTTTTTTTTCCCCTTTATTTCTCTGAGCAGATCTGTTTCTGCAGAAAACTGAAGTGATATGAGTTAAATAATTTAATAATACTAAAATTTTTCTTCCCCTTGCTTACAAATATTTTAAAATATTTAAATAAACTGGTATATTGGAATTAATCCATTGGAATCAGAGTTTTGGATTACATTGTTACAGTAATTCTGTAAGGAGCAGTGATAGAGATTTCTGCATCCAGAAATTTTTCAGTGGTTGAGACACATCTGGTTTATTTGGAAGTTGCTATAAAATTTTTTTCCAAACAGTGCTAGTAGCTTGTATAAAGTAGCTTGACGGTATAAAGTCACCATGTAAATATTTTTCTTCAAAGAAAACAATTTTGTATGATGATTCTTTTAAAAAATTAATCATTTCTTTTTTTACAGGTACATGAAATCCCGCTTAACCTATTGTCACATTAACGATGTTATTAGAGAAATCAACAAGGCAGTTGTTAGTAAATATAAGATCCTACATCAGCCAAAAAAGTCTATGAGTTCTGTGACCAGAAATCTCTATCACAGATTTATTGACGAAGAAACGAAGGAAACCAAAGGTAAAATGAGAGTATATATATATGTGTGTGTGTGTACATTTTAGCTCTTTGGAGTGTAACTAAATCATGAGAAACAAAACTAATTCCAGAACATTCTAACTCTAGAGAGGTAGTTCTCAACCAGGGGCAGTTTTCCCACCAGAGAATATTCTGCCATCTCTGGAGACAGTTTTGATGGTTACACCTAGGGTTGGGGGTGCTCCTGGTACCTGGAGAGTAGAGACCAAGGGTGCTGCTGAAGCCCCCTATAGTGCATTCCAAAGAGTGCTAGTAGCTTGTATAAAGTAGCTTGACTGTATAAAGTCACCATGTAAATATTTTTCTTCAAAGAAAACAATTTTGTATGATGATTCTTTTAAAAAATTAATTTTCTTTTTTTACAGGTACATGAAATCCCGCTTAACCTATTGTCACATTAACGATGTTATTAGAGAAATCAACAAGGCAGTTGTTAGTAAATATAAGATCCTACATCAGCCAAAAAAGTCTATGAGTTCTGTGACCAGAAATCTCTATCACAGATTTATTGACGAAGAAACGAAGGAAACCAAAGGTAAAATGAGAGTATATATATATGTGTGTGTGTGTACATTTTAGCTCTTTGGAGTGTAACTAAATCATGAGAAACAAAACTAATTCCAGAACATTCTAACTCTAGAGAGGTAGTTCTCAACCAGGGGCAGTTTTCCCACCAGAGAATATTCTGCCATCTCTGGAGACAGTTTTGATGGTTACACCTAGGGTTGGGGGTGCTCCTGGTACCTGGAGAGTAGAGACCAAGGGTGCTGCTGAAGCCCCCTATAGTGCGCAAGGCAGCTCCGACAGAAAAAGAATTATCTAGTCTAAGATTTCTGTAGTGCCGAGCCTCAGAAATACTGCGTTGGAGTCTCTTATGGAATGATATCCAGTGTTTTCAGAATTAGACTAGTAATAACAGCTGGTGATGCTTAGATAACACCATGTGGCAGAGAGTGTGCTAAGGGCTTTAGTCTTCACAGCATCCTCACAGCATCACTCATCCATAAGGATGAGTACTCATATTTATGTACTCATCTTTATGAGTACTATTATTATTCCTATTTTATGGACTAGGAGGACTTCAGTTACTTGCCCCAGGTCAATCAGTTAGGTGATCAAGTGATAAAGCTGTGGGTTTCTGGGTTACATTCTCTTAACCACTACCATATTGCTTCTTGAAAAGTGAATTGTTCAAAAGATAGCAGCAGATAGCCAGTGATAAAATAAGCAAGGCTACACTGCTGAAATGCTACAGTAAACATTATGCAACTTTGGTTGAAAGAATAATGATTATTTTAGCAAGAATACCAGTTCTCATTTTGGTTGAATGATGGTAGTCAAAATCATTAATGCCATTCATAGTCATAATGTAATGACTATGTAAAGACATAATGTAAAGACTCATCTTGAAAGTTGTCCTAATAAAAATTAGCACTAATATCTTTACTTTCAGGTCATTATTTTGTAGTGGAAGCTGACATAAAGGAGTTCACAGCTTTGAAAGTCGACAAGAGGTTTCATGTGATACTGAATATTTTACGACACTGCCGGAGGCTATCAGAGGTCCGAGGGAAAGGGCTTACCCGATATGTTATAACGTAAAGTCCTTGTGAGCTTTTGAACCAGCTAACAGGGTTTAGAGGCTGTTCCTATAGTTTCCTTACATGTAATTTTTAATATATAATTTTTTTAGCTTTTTCATTTTCTTTGTTTCTTCTAAAAATAAAACATGTATATTTTAAAATCCACTACCTTACAGTAAGTACTTAATCACCTACTACGTGAGCCTCTGTTCTGGGCATACAGTGGAACTAAGAAATGTTCGTATTTAGTTTTCGTGTTCAGTGACAGTGCTGCCAGTCCCAGTAAGAGAGATGCAGATAAAAGCCAAAGTTCAAGAAGAGACGATCAAGGATAGCCAGGCTGTTTGCAATTAAAGGTCATTAGTGTCTCAATTCCACCCTATAGATTGATGATATTTCAGGCTATAGTCAGAAGTTGGATTTGAGGGCAGCCCATTGATCCCCGGGTTGGGAAGATCCCCTGGAGAAGGGAAAGGCTACCCACTCCAGTATTCTGGCCTGGAGAATTCCATGGACTGTATAGTCCATGGAGTTGCAAAGAGTCGGACACAGCTGAGCAGCTTTCACTTTGCTTTCATCCATGTGGTTTTCTGCTTTCCCACATGTGGTTAAGGAACAGCTTACCTGAAATGCATTCAGTGTAAATCAGTCTATAAACATCAACCTGTAATGAAATTGTAACAAAAGTATATTGAGATGAAAAAGATGATAAAATAAGATGTGTGAGCAGATTGATAGTGGTCATGGAAAATGGGTGGTTGAATTGTAAGAATTTAATGGAGTTTTACTTCCACACTTGGGGAGGCTGTTAGTCTAATCTATGTCTTAGGGTTATCTGGAGAAACTGAATCAACAGGGTATCTGTCTGTCTATGTGAAGTCAAGTGAAAGTTGCTCAGTCGTTTCCGACTCTTTGTGACCCCATGGACTATACAGTTCATGGAATTCTCCAGGCCAGAATACTGAAATGGGTAGCCTTTCCCTTCCCCAGGGGATCTTCCCAACCCAGGTCTCCCACATTGCAGCTGAATTCTTTACCAACTGAGCCACAAGGGAAGCCCAAGAATACTGGTGTGGGTACCTATCCCTTCTCCAGCAGATCTTTCTGACCCAGGAATTGAATCAGGGTCTCCTGCATTGCAGGTGGATTCTTTACCAACTGAGCTATCAGGGAAGCCCTTAATACTGGAGTGGGTAGCCTATCCCTTCTCCAGCAGATCTTCCCAACCACGGAATCGAACCAGAGTCTCCTACATTGCAGGCAGATTCTTTACCAACTGAGCTATCTGTCTGTATCTGTATCTATCTCTCTATCCATCTATCTCTAGTGGAGATTTATCATGAGGAATTGGCTCATGTGATCATGGAGGCTGGGGGGCCCCCAGATCTGCTGTCTGCTAGCTGGAGGCCCGGGAAAGCCAGTGATGTGATTCAGTCTGAGTGTGACAGCCTGAGAACCAGGGAAGCCAGGCCAGAGCAGATGAAATGAGAAATTGGAGCTCAGCAGTGAGGCAGGAAAATAAAAGAACACATTCTTCCCTCCTTCCTCCACCTATTGTTCTACTCAGGTCCTTCCTGGATGGATGGGCAGACGCCCACCCCCATGGGGAGGGCAGTCTGTTTCATTGAGTCCACTGATCCAGTGCTCATCTCATCTTGAAACACGCTTATAGACACACCCATAAATGATGTTTAATATGGGTGCCTAGTGGCCAGTTAATCCTCACAGCCTATGTCTGTGCCATCTGCTTGGCAGGCTGATCCTTGCAGCTGAGAAAAAAGTAGCCTGGTTAACACTCAACCCCAGAATACGTTATGGGCGCTGCTTATTTATTGTTATTTTTTCTCCCTAATTTAAATGCAGGTATGCTTAATTTTGACTAGACGAACCTTTGTTGGCAAAGTAATGTCTCTGTCTAGGTTGGTCATAAAACTTATCTAGTCAAAGCTATGGTTTTTCCAATAATCATGTATGTATGGGAGAGTTGGACTATAAAGAAAGCTGAGTGCCGAAGAATTGATGCTTTTGAACCGTGGTGTTGGAAAAGACTCTTGAGAGTCCCTTGAACTGCAAGGAGATCCAACCAGTCCATCCTAAAGGAAATCAGTCCTGAATATTCATTGGAAGGGCTGATACTGAAGCTGAAGCTCCAATATGGCCACCTGATGCGAAGAACTGACTCATTGGAAAAGACCCTGATGCTGGGAAAGAGTGAAGGCAGGAGGAGAAGGGGATGACAAAGGATGAGATGGTTGGATGGCATCACCGACTCGATGGACATGAGTTTGAGCAAGCTCCAGGAGTTGGTGATGGACAGGGAAGGCTGGCGTGCTGCAGTCCATGGGGTCACAAAGAGTCGGACACAACTGAGGGATTAGAACATCATTTTCAAGCAAAATGACAGGCTTGTTCTACTTACTTTTGAAAAAAACATTTTGTTAAAATCCAATTTTGAAAGGACTTTGTGGTTCTGGCCTCTTTGCCCTCAGACCCGTTCCTTGCCCTTTCTTTGCCCCCCGTCTTCTGCAGTAGCATTAGTAGCTCACAGCCCAGAAGCACCCGTGCTGTCCAGTGCCCCTGTAGCATGGCCCTCTTAGAACTTTATGCCCTGAACCTCATGTCACAGCTTTCTGCTGCAGGGCCCACAGCCTGGAGGGGAACAAATTCCAGCTGACTTTGTCTCCAGCTGAATTCCACAAGCCTGATGCCCAGTTTACCACCTCCTAGTTCTACCAGCCTGGTGAGTCCTAGGTAGGAGAAGGGTTCACAATAGTGACCCAAGACCTCACTTTGTCTTCTTTGTTGAGATACGCATTTTAAAAAACATTTTATTTTGTTTTGGGATATAGCCAATTAACAGGCTTCCTTGGTGGCTCAGATGGTAAAGAATCCATCTGCAATGCGGGAGACCCAGGTTTGATCCCTGGGTCGGGAAGATCCTCTGGAGAAGGGAATGGTTACCCACTCCTGTATTCTTGCCTGGAGAATAGTATGGAGGCTCCTTAAAAAAACTAAAAAAAACAGAGCTACCATATGACCCTGCAACCCCACTCCTGGACATATATCCAGAGAAAAACATGATGTGAAAGGATTCATGCACCTCAATGTTCATTATTGCACTGTTTACAATAGTGAAGACATGCAAGCAACCTAAATGACCATGGATGATGAATGGTAAAGAAGATGTGCCACAAATGCACAATGGAATATTACTCAGCCATTAAAAAAGAATGAAATGCTTTTTTCAGCAACATGAATGGACCTAGATTGTCATACTGAGTGAAGTCAGACACAGAAGGNAAGAGGGTTCCCTTCTCTCCACACCCTCTGCAGTATTTATTGTTTGTGGATTTTTGATAATGGCCATTCTGGCTGGTGTAAGGTGATAATCTTGTTATTTTGATTTGCATTTCTCTAATGATTAGCAATGTTGAGCATCTTTTCATGTGCCTCTTGGCCATCTGTATGTCTTCTTTGGAAAAATGTCTATTTAGGTCTTCTGCCCATTTGTTGATTGGGTTGTTTTGATGCTATTAAGGGTCATGAACTATTTATAAATTTTGTGATTTACAAATTTTTATGTGATGAAATCTTTAATCTGTTTCTTTATAGGTTCTGTGTGCTGGAAAAGTAGGTTATTTGTAAACTGAAACATTTTTCCCAGGTAACATGGGCTAGCTAAAAGTGGTCACACCAGAACACCACCTCGGTCTTGTTTTACCTCTCCTAAGGACTCCCTGTCCCCTTTCACCTCTCCTGAGAATACTTTATCCCCTTTTACATTTCTTAACTGTCGATGTCCCCTCAAATTGGCCTCATCCAGTTTGAATGTCTGGATGTGGATCTTGTGTCTATCCTATGTTCTAGTTACAAAGGGGAAATGTAACTTTAAATGAAGAGATCTGACTGTCACTCCTTGTGGCAGGTTGTATTTTCCAGAATGGATGGATGATGGGAGAATTCCATACTCCATCCCATGCGCTTTTTCAGTGTGATGTTAACACTCTTCCAGCAGGAGGCAGGAGCTTTGTTCCCTCTCTTTGAATCTGGAGACATATTTGTAACTGCTTCAGCCAATAAAATTTGAGAGGAATGCCACTGCCTGATTTCCAAGCTAACTATTAAAGAGAATATGAATTCCATCTGGTCTCTTCCTTGGGATGCTTGCCTTTGGAACCCTGTCACCATGTTGCAAGAAAACCCAGAATACATGGAGAGATCCCATTAACTGCCACTGACTACCAGTCACGTGAGCAAATTATTCCATCCGCCAGCCTTAAAGTGTTCTTGCTGAAGTCCCAGACATCCAGGAATAGAGACAAGCTGCCCCTGCTGTGCTCTGAATTCAGGACCTGCAGAAATCATGAAAAATAAATGATTATAGTAGTTTAAATACACTACATTTTTGCATAATTTATCATACAATGAGATAATGAAAACACTACTCAAACCTTGCATCACCAATAATGGGACATCCTGACATTATCTGCCTTCTAATGTGACACGATATGAAATAGAGACAGCACTGCCTATGAAATACTGTCAAAAACATTCAACTTGAATCTGATGAAGACTAGTTCTATCATTTTTATAGGAAGCACAAGGGATAGAGAAACAAGTTAAAAGTCATCATGAAGAAATAATCAGACAGATCCAGATATAAGTAACCTGGTGTCATAAAAACAAGTCAATAATAGAAAAAAAATAAAGGGATCCAGTTCTAGATTAAAAGAGCCTAAGATTATAGTCAACATAAACCATGAACCTTGATTCCTTTTGAAGAAAAAGATACAGGGACAGTATGGAAACTTAAGTTGTATATTGGATGCTGTGAAAGAACTATTATCTATTTTCTTAGGTATGATAATAGTCTTGTGGTTATGTTGGAGAATATCCCTATTTTCTGCAGATGTGTCTGAGATATTTTGGGATAATACAATATGTTTTTAAATGGCCAGTCAATATAATTGGGTACATCAATACATAGAGCATACATGGCCAAGTGTTAATAATTGTTCAATCTGATAGAAATAGCATTCCACTATAACATTCTTTCTAATTTTATGTGTCAAGCTTTTTTTCCTAATAAAATTTAGAATACTTGTGAAACAAACACTGATTAGATATTTACATTTCATGAAAACACAGAACTTGTGGGCTGGTGA